TAACCTGGGCCCCGGCCTTTGCTACTGATTGAGGGACAGGGAGAGGGTGGCAGGGGGAGGGTGACGCGGCCCACCCACGGGGCACCTGACGGGCACAGACCAAGCCCGGGCAGCTGTCCCCTCCCTGTGAGTGGCCTGCAGAGGAGGGTGAGCCCCAGGTGTGTCCAGTGGTGGCCCCGGGAGGCGTTTTCAGGCCATTTGTGGTGTGTGGTCCCTGGGCAGTTTGCTAGCATGCAGGCATGGCCTGGGATCCGGCCCGTCGGTGGCGGGGGCCCGGGAATCTGCATTCGTGCCGGTACCCCCACTCCTGGGAAGCCGTCCGGTGGGCCTGGCCCGGGGGCTGTCAGACTCTGCGCCTGCCTGATCCCTGAGAGTCCACGATGGTTGCGCCTGCTCCTCCCATGACCGCCTCCTCGCACCACTGCGTTCTCACGGCCGTGAAGTCACTGGAGCGATTTCCTGAGCCGTGATTGGCCTCGGGATTTCCTCGTTTCCTGGGTAAAATCAAAACACAATTAATGATTTCCTTAAACAGGACGCACCACATAATTACATTCGTTAATTATTTTCCTTAAAATGAATCGTTAATCAAAACAAGAAATGTAAGCAGCAGACCCTGAAAACAGTGAGGTTTTACCATCGAAAGAAGAAATCAGCGTTTATTAAACAGTCGGGGCAAGTGGTTCACCTGCACTCAGTGGCACGTGTGTACATGCATGATGAGCACTCGCCACATGCATGTGCCGTGTGGTACATAACATGGACATGCCACACGTATCATACACGTGTGTATATGTATGTTGTGTCATATACACATTGGCGTGCAAACATGTGTGGATGTATTTTGAGCACTGTCCACAGGCATGTAGTGTATGTTCTATAAAATGTACACGTGTATATTATATAGCATACCCACATGTATTATATAATATAAACACCTATGTATTACATATATAATATGCACATGTGCTATGTATATATTATATAATATATACACACAGAGCACACATAGGTATATTATATAATATAATATATACACCTATGTGTGCTTTGTGTGTGATGCAATATACACATGTGTGCCATGTGTGTTATATAATATACACGTATGTGCATTATATGTGTGTTAGTTAATGTGCTGTATGTACAATATATGCAAAGAACTAAACAGCAGGTGGGAATCTGCGTGCAGTGCCTGCCACTGGGCGTTTCTGTGCTGTCGGCTCCTGATCTCACTCACAGGCGGTGTCACTCTGTGTCTGAGCCCTGGGTGGTGTGGCTCAATGGATAGAGCATCATCCTGTGGACTGAAGAGTCCCGGGTTCGATTCCTGGTCAGGGCACATGCCCATGTCCAGACTCGATCCCCAGTGCGGGGCTTGCAGGAGGCAGCCAATCAGTGATTCTCTCTCATCATTAATGTTTCTGTCTCTCCCTCCCCCTTTCTCTCTGAAATATGTGTGTGTGTGTGGGGGGGGGGGTGTCTGTGGGTGTATGTGTGTCTGTGTATGAGTGTGTCTGTGTGTGTTGTGTGTGTCTGTGTGAGTGTGTGAGTGTATGTGTGTGTGTGTGTGTGTGTATAAAGTGTCCAGTTGACCATTGCTGATAAGAAGGCTACGATCAGGAGGAAACCAGGGGGGCGGGTCAGTGGCCTTTCTCTCCTGTGAGCAGGCGATTGCTTGCAAGGTGAGGATGCGCGTGGCTCGGGGGGCCTCAGGCTTAACCTGTGTCCGTGATGGACACGGCCATGGCGTCCCAAAGTCTGTGCTCTTTCCTGCGCTAGAACCGGCTGAGATGCCAGGACCTCGGCCTGAAAACCCACTTGGACCAACTGGACCAGCAGATCAGTGAGCTGCAGCTCGACGTGTGCAGGACGTCCACCGAGGGCCCCGACGGCGACAGTCGGCCCAGCTCAGGTACACGCCACACACAGACATAGGCACATGTGTGTGTACATAGACACACTACACACAGGAAGCAGGCACATTTGCACACATGCATGCACACATACACACACCACACACAGACACGGGCACATGTGTGTGTACATAGACACACTACACACAGGAAGCAGGCACATTTGCACACATGCATGCACACATACACACACCACACACAGACGCAGGCACACATGCATACACATGTGTGTGCACAGACACACATGTAAAATGTGTGTGCGCACGTGTGTGCACATATAAACACACATGGTAACAGAAATGCATGTGCCTGTGCGCACAAATGTGTGCGCGCGTGTGCACATGTGCATGCTCGTGCACATGTGCACCTCTACATATATGTGTCATGTGTGTGGTGTATATGTGCCTCACATATACACATGTGTATGCATACGCATATATTCACACATCCCCATACACACCACCACACACATATACACCTACCCATATATACACACACATATACACTCACACACCCATACACAAACCATACCCATATATACACACACACATACACACACACACACCCATACACATAACACACATACACACACACACACACCCATACCCACGCCCTGCACTGACCTCCTGTCTGCCCGCCCAGGCTTCTACGAGATGAGCGATGGCGGCTCCTGCTCCCTGTCTGCCTCCTGCACGTCCGTGTGCAGCGATCGCCTGTCCTCCTCCCTGGGCACTTTGCTGCCCGGCGCCCCGCAGGCCAGGACCAGCGCAGGGGACTGCCGGCCCTGGTCGGCCGATGACAGCACCATGTGCGGGGGGCCCCTGTCCGTGTGGGGACTTCAGGCCACCGAGGATGGCGCGGGCCCCTCACGGCCCAGGCCCGTGTCCACAGGTACGGGAGGGCCGGGGAGGGTGGGGGCCCCATCCAGGCGGTGGGATGCGAGCACAGCGGGAGCCTGTGAGGGGGGCGTACCCTCCCTTTGGCGGCTTCCCATTCCCTGTAGCAGCTTGGGTTGGGTGGAGGTAGGAATCAAACGCCCACTTGCGCCCATTGGAGCAGGGCTGTTGCAATAAAAGGCGTCGGTCGCTCTGAGGGGAGGTTGGAGCCGGCAGTGGGACCCGTGTGCACGCGAGGCCCCCCGGACGCCCACCCGGTTTCCCGCGGAGGGAGACCTGTGCCGTGAGGGTGGGCTGAGCGGCGGGACAGGCGTGCCAGCGCTTTCCCTTACTCCCGGATCCCTCCCTTTCTCGTTCCCAGGTGACCTCGAGAGAGTCCCCCTGGCCGGGGCGGGGCCCCCGACGGCCGGCGTTGACGCCATGTCCACGTTGCTTCTCCGCCGCGGGCTAGGCCCCCTGCCCCTCAGGCTGGACCCCAAGTACCAGCGTGACCTGGTGTCCAAGGGGGGCAGGGAGGTGTACCTCTACCCCAGCCCCCTGCATGCGGTGGCTCTGCAGAGCCCCCTCTTTGCTCTGCCCACGGACACCCCTCAGAGGGACAGCCCCCCGCAACCCTCCAGCCAGCCCCTTCCTGGCCACTCAGGGCCACGCCCCATCCGGATGGGACCGCTCCCCGAGGCTGGCGCAGCCAGAGCCTACATAGACAAGCTGCTTGGACGGCGGGGCCCAGGGCACACCCCAAGGGGCCGTGTGGGTGAGCAGGGACCCCCATCCCAGAGAGCAGAGACTGAGCGTCACCCAGACGGGCTGACCTGCTCCCCAAGAAGAGCAGACGTGGGAGGGGGGGCTCTGAGGAGGGACACAGGTGGGAATAGCCTTGAGCAGCGGGGACCTGCGCCCTGTGGGAGCCCCCCGCCCCCCAGCAGCCTTCCGGAGGAGGGACAGAGACCCCCCCGTAACTGCGTCCATGCGGGGACCATTCAGGGCTCCCTCAGCTGGGGGGGTGCACTCCCGGGCTCAGCAGGCCGCTCCTACCAGCTGGGAGGGCACAGCAGGCTGTCCATCAGGACGGGGCCTGGGGCCCTATGTGCACCCCCATTCTGTTGTATTTAGCTTTGAGCCAACGGGGCTGCGAACGGGCCAGAGGCCTGGCCCCCCCACCACAAAGGCTGTGAAGATGGGGAGGAGGGCCAGCAACAGGGCACCGAGGCCAGGGAGGCAGCCGCCACCCGGGGGCGCCGTCCTGGCCCCCCAGCTGCCCCCCACATGGGGCGCTGGACTTTGGAAAAGGGCCCCCCAGGCCAGGGAGCCCCCCGGCCGGTCCTGCTCCGAGTGCAGCCTCTACCCAGTGTCCTTCCTCGTCCCCCTGCTGGTGGCCCGCCGGGAAGGCCACGGGGCGTCCGCCCAGGCCTTGTTCCCCCGGGAGGAAGCCCCTGGGGTGGCCGGCAGGGCGGCCCGGCAGAGGCAGCGCAGGTGGCGGTCGTCCGTGGAGATCTCAGCCCGCGCCCGCCTGCCTGGCGCCCAGGGCCCTGGTCTGGGGCCCCCAAGGCCGGCCTCGCGGAGAGGGGGTGGCCCGCGGCCTGCGTGCTCCCGGGCCAGGCTCAGGCCGCCCCACAGGCACCCGCAGGTCAGGAGCGAGTCTGGCTCCGAGCACTCGGCCGAGTGTGCCTTCCTCTTCCACTCCACCATCACCGAGACCAGCGAGGTCAGGGCCAGCGACCACACGGCCGGCCGCTTCGGGGACCCGGAGTCCAGTGGCAGCAACGCAGAGGGTGGTGTCCAGGACGTGGGCAGCCGGCCGGCCTGGCCTGGGATGAGCCCCCCCCAGCCCCATCGCACCCCTGGCTCCCGGCCACCCCTGTCCCCGGTGCCCAAGCTCTGCCACATCAAGGCCTCCAAGGCCCTGAAGAAGAAGATCTGCCGGTTCCAGCCCACTGCGCTGAAGGTCATGACCCTGATGTGAGCCTGCTGCGCTGAAGGTCATGACCCTGATGTGAACATGCTGTGCTGAAGGTCATGGCCCTGGTGTGAACCTGCTGCACTGAAGGTCACGACCCTGGTGTGAACATGCTGTGCTGAAGGTCATGACCCTGGTGTGAACCTGCTGTGCTGAAGGTCACGACCCTGGTGTGATCCAGCTGCACTGAAGGTCATGACCCTGGTGTGAATATGCTGTGCTGAAGGTCATGACCCTGGTGTGAACCTGCTGTGCTGAAGGTCATGACCCTGTGTGAGGCCAGGCAACCCGACCTGTGTTCCAGAAGCCGTCCTCCTGAGGATCAGGAGGGAGGGTGTGACAGGCTCAGAGGGCCGAGGACAAAGTCCAGCGTGTTCGCCTATTTACTGTGCGGATGTGGGTTCTCCCATGTTGTTGCCAATTTGTGGCCTGAAGTTCCGCTTGGAAAAGCCGTCACCCCCGGAGTGGAGGGAGGAGCAGGTGCCAGGCTGGGCGGAGGGTCCCCGAGCCCCGGGCGCCTCCCCAACCTGTCAGATATCAGAGAACACAAGCTGTGGGGTCTCACGAGCCGCCTGCAGACACGGACTCGCCCAGGCATCCAGGCGTCTGCCGCCACCACCTTGGTCCTGCTCCCGTCTCTGCAAAGCATCTTCCTTGGGGCTCGGCGGCCGGACACCTGTGGGAAACTGGGCGGATGGGACCCCATGTCCGTCTCAGGTGAATAAACCCAGGATTTGCCGTTCGTCTCTGAGTCACCGTGAGGCTGGGGTCCCCGAGAATGCAGAGGGACAGCGTCCCTGTGACGGGTGACATCATGCAGCCAAAATCCCCTGCCACTCACGCGGGTCGCCTGACCTTCGCCCCAGCTGTTCACCTCTTCCACCTGCAGGTGCCCAGGCCCAGCGGTGGTCTGCCCGTGCTGAGGGGGCCCCCTGACTCCATCCCCGTCGGGGAGGGGCTGTGCGGGGCTTTGCGGCTTGAACTGAGCTGTGGCCTCTACCTGGGTGAGTGGAGGGTGACAATGGGGCCAGGCCTCCTGCCACCTGGACCGGCCCCGGGCAGTGGGGGCGAGAACACAGACCTCAGGTCCGGCTGCTTCGCGCCCGTGGGCCCTGCCCAGGTGGCTCTGACACTGAGCCTGAGCGAGCAGAAGAGCTCTCGGGGCTGCGTCCACACCGTCCTGTCTGGCCCGCGGGTCTCCCCTCCTGGTCTGGTTACCTGGTGGGAACAGAGCTGAGAGGGTGACGCGCAGGGAGGGGGGCCGGTGGGGCTCTGCCCGGCAGAGGAGGAGCCGCCTGTGAACCTGGGGCCCTGCCCGTAAGCAGGGTCCCCGCACTGAGGGCTCCCGGCTCACAGCCCTGGGTCCTGGTGGGGCCGCCAGCCACGAACCCACTGGACCCGTGTGTGTTTTGTTCTGTTCTCGCGAGGTTGACCCAATATGACTCCCCCCACAGTGGCAGGTGCGTCTGAGCCCTGAGGCCGCTCGGTGCCACTCCTTCTAGTCTCACTCACAGGGACGTGTCCTGACACAGGGAGGGAGGAGGGAGGGAGGAGGGAGGACTCAGGGGACCGGCCCCAGCCTCCCTCCTCCCCCTCCCCCCCCCCGACCATGCTCGGCCCCCCCTCAGTGCATTAACTGCCGTCTCTGGGCAGGAAAAGATGCTTCTATGTACAGAGAGCGGAAGCACCCCCAGGGCTGGGGGGTGGGGGATCCAGACCCGGTTGCCATGGTGCCCGGGCCCTGCATCCTGGCTGCTGGGCGGCTGGCTGCGGCGTGCGCTGAGGGTCTGGGCTGGGTTAATTTTTAAACCGTCCGTGACCGCTCTGAGACTCAGGAGAATAAATACAGGCCTTGAGTTGCCATCCCCCAGGGAGAGAGAGAGAGAGAGAGCCCGCGGAGGGAGGCCACGGGGTCAAGAGGACTGGGAGCCTCAACAGCGGCCGCCAATGTTTGTCTTGAATAAATATCTTCAAAGTCAAGATCCTGAGAGCAGCCATCGGCCTCCATTTGGGGACCAATTAGTCCTTTCCGCGTGCGGTTTGCTGGGCCGACTCATTCTCCCCAGACCCTCTGTGGGTGACAGAAGCCGCGTCCTAACCCCCGCCCGGGGCAGACCGAGGGCCGAGGCGCTTCTAGGAGCCTGGGGCCTGGAGGACCAGAAAGGGGACTTTCAAAAAGGAAGCGTGAGGTTGTTCCTGGTCAGATGCTTCTGAGACTCACAGGACAATTTATGGGGCCCAGCCTCACCTTCTCACAGGACCCCAAGTTCATGTCATGGTTGGAGGGCTCCGGTTCAGAGCCCTCGGGTGTTTAAGGGCTGCGCGCTGATTCTCTCCTCGCCTCACTCGCGCTTCCTGGCGCTGGGATGTCTGCAGGGCCTGGTCCGGCAGCTCGAGGGGCCATGGAGGGGACGCACGGTGCCACCTCTGCCAGGCGACCGGCCCGCCCCTCCCCCTTCACGGGATCAGGATGCAGGGGGTGGGGGACCGGGGTGGGGGTGGGGGGAGTGCACCCACATCCATGACCTGCCTCCGAGCAGCATCACCTGTTTACCTCTCCCGGCAAAAACAGCCACCGCCACACAAGGGGACTCATGCCGCTGGCGATGCGACCGGGATGGGCGCTGCAAACATGGGGCAAGGCCCACTCCTCCAGGCCCTCCGCCCCGAAGGCCCGCCCTGCCCTTGGAGGGCCCTGTGTGCAGACACGGTCATTCCCATGACGCCCAGAGGAGGCGTCACTGGGGCCTGTGCTGTGAGCAGGAGCAATCCCCAGGAAGGACTTAGCTCAGTCTCGGCACCTTATTGCCCAGAGGATGGACAGACGGGACTCCTGGAGCTCCGGACAGACGGGGGAAGGAGGGTGATGGGGAGCCCGCGAGAAGGGGTCAGAGCCGCCTTGTAGAAGGTTCCAAGCAGCTAAGCAAAGCAGGGAGGGGAGGAGGGAGGGGGGAGGGAGCGGGCGGCCATGGGTCCGGGTCCCGGCGGACACACAGCCCTGCACGGCCGATGCCGGGACCCGCGCAGCACGCATTCGCCGCGAGGCCCTGGCTAAGAGACGGCTTCATCCGCTCACCTAGAAACACCAGGAGTCTCCCCGGAACTCGGACTCCCCAGCCCATCGTGTTAAAGCAGCTGTTGCTTTGCTGGAGATAAAGAATAACACGCTGGAAGGCGATGAGGGGCGGGGAGTAAACTAGTCAGAAAAGGCGAACTTGTTTTCCTCGGATGCTTCTCGGCTGCAGGGACCCGGCACGGCCGCAGCCACAAGCCTTGTCGCGCGAACTGATGTTAAACTCCGTCCTGTGACATGACCTCCGTCTGGAACACAAATTCTTCAACGTAACCAGTAAGTCACCAAGTGACCACAGCGCTTCTCTTCTGCGGCCGCCGCGTCCTCCTCAGTGAACGCGTGTGTGTGGCCCGTTCACACAGTTCCATCCTCCGAACTTGACGCCCGGTGACGCCGAGACCTTACAGCCGCGGTTCTCAACCTTCCGGCCCTTTAAATACAGTTCCTCATGTTGTGACCCAACCATAACATTATTGTCGTTGCTACTTCATAACTGTAATGTGGCTACTGTGATGAATCGCCATGTAAATATCTGATATGCAGGATGGTCTTAGGCGACCCCTGTGAAAGGGTCGTTCGACCGCCAAAGGGGTCGCGACCCACAGGTTGAGAACCGCTGCCTTACAGGGAGCTGGGCAAGAACCGAGAGATTTTTTTTTTATTATTTTTTTTATTTTTTTATTTTTTTATTTTATTTATTTATTTTTTTTATTTTTCGCTTAAAGTATTACAAAGGGTATTACATAAGTGTCCTTTTTTTCCCCCCCGCCCTTGACACACCCCTACCCTCCCTTACCGAGAGATTTCTCCCAAAGAGTGTCATGCACAGGAGAGAGGCCACAGGCGTGAGATAGCACAGTTGGTTGTCTCTTTGCCCAAATAAAAGCAAGGGTTTTAAAGCAATGCATCACCTAACCCAGTGGTTGGCAAACTCATTAGTCAACAGCCAAATATCAACAGTACAACGATTGAAATTTCTTTTGAGAGCCAAATTTTTTAAACTTAAACGATATAGGTAGGTACATTGTTATTAACTTAGTTAGGGGACTCCTACGGCTTAGGAAGAGCCACACTCAAGGGGCCAAAGAGCCGCGTGTGGCTCGCGAGCCGCAGTTTGCCGACCATGGACCTAACCCATCGCTCATTTCATGGACAAGCTGGGAAATGCCCCCCCTCCCCCCCGAAAGCCTGTTCTAACCAGGACACGCGTGGCCCGGCCCAGAAACAACCAT